TCTTGGTTACAAGAAGTTTCACTAGGGCGTATTCTTACAAACTGTGCTATTTACGCTATCTTGATCAGTGGGTTCAGCTTCTGTAATTTTAGGTATAAAATTGATTTCCCTGAGAGTCCCGAGACTGATATTACCTGGACTGAAATAACTTCCAAAGTAAATAGAAACATAGACTATCGACCATACTGAATCTTGCAGGAACGGTTTTTTTCGGAAAAAGGTGGGTAAATCTAGTGAAACTGAGTTTTGAAGAAAATAAACTAATTTAGCGATAACTGTGAAAAAGTAAAAAATTCGTATCTCTCTCACAATCTAACCAAACCAGCCGAAACCTTTAGAACATAAGGATATGAATAGTTTGAATACTTAGAACAGCAAAACAACTCTAAACTAATATATTTTCTCACGCTTGATTGCTAAAAACGGCTCTGAAAATTCCAATAATGAGAAAATACAGTTACTTTTCTGACTATGTCGCACTTGAATCAGGTTACAGAGAGTATTTTTCGAAGATTTCGTCTGGTTTGATTACATCGTATGCGAGATATGAATTTTTTACTCTCGATGGCTGTTTTGGTACTCCAGCTTCCATGTGAAAATTGGAAAGAAATTTCTCGACGAACATCATTGATGTCGATACAATCGAATTTCAAACCGTCATACGGATCAGGCGTTTGTAAGAAGAGCGGTCCACTATGAATAGCTGAGTCTGACATAGATCAGCAATTTCATCACCAACTAATTGTCTAATCAGTTTAAGAAAGTTATTGCTTGTATAGGTTAAAACATCAAAAGGTAATACAGAGATGTCAATGTATATTTTTGGAGCGATCATTTGTTGATGTTTACTTTGCATTACTTTACGAGCGCAAAGAAGAACAATTTTCTTTCTTTTTCATTTCTCATCATAAGATCAGCAGTTTCACTCTCGCATGAATGTGAAAGATTCAATACAAAGCGATAAGAGATGGTGATGTTAGTTTTCTCTTGTGTTATCACTTATCTGTATAACTTCTGTATGAGTGAAAAATATAGTCATTGCACTGTTTGTCCAGAAAAATTGAAAAGATTAACTTCACTGTGAAGCCTTTTTGATTGTCTCAGTACATTCTACTACACTCCCCGCCTCCCCCCAGATAATAGAAGATCGTTCCTTATTAGAAGACCACTGCCGATTATATGACTTGAACGCCAAATAGAACTGGTCTTCTGACCAGTCTTCTATTACGAGAGAGGCGGAAGTAGCCTTAATGATAATAGAAGGTAGTTTTCTACAGAACCCGTTTCATTTTTCACCACAAGCGTGGTTTTAGTGATGTAATACAAACAAACCGAGCTTGGAAAACCTTATCTTGTATATCAATCATTAGATCTTGACTAGTTCTATCAAGGGTAGCGCTACTGCCGTGCTGAGAGGTGTCGCCCAATATATTTTTTGCAATTTATATTGCAAAACTTAGAGAATATAGACAGTCTGTCATGGCGAATCGATTAAGAATCCTTCCCATTGGGATCTTCAGAGGGTGTCCAGAAAAGGTTTTAGCTTACGTTACGTCGTGCGCTTTTTCCATGGAATGAGAGAAGTTTACGACATTTCTCAGCTAACCTGGATGCGAACGCCGACCGAAGGGAGGCGTGAGCATTGCCTTGAATTTCAGAATATTTTAGACCTCTGTGGATCTTTAGAGCATGGTATGCCGGTTAGTAATTAAGCAAGCACAGTATGTTAGGGCGTAGATGCAAGTTATTAGCGAAGAGACAAACACACTCGTCAAGCCATAATACCAGGGTGATTAGAAATAAGAATTTAAGTATTGTGAGTGTACCTCATTTATTTCTTGTATTGACAGTAGTGTGAACGATAATTAGTTTATTCTACAATCTGATATTGGCAATTCCTTTCCAGTCAAGGGATAAGTGAATCAGAATGATGAACGTTACTTGTTATTTTAATCTCTCAATTTGGCAGAATATAGAGTAATCTCAGGGTGAACATTTCGATGAAAATATAAACTTTATCCTTTTCTTATTTTATCACATAACCTGTTGCCGTGCGGATATAACATAAATGAGAAGTGGTAAGATCAAAAGGAGGGAAAATAGAAAACGATACACCTGATCTCTACAGTTCAATTATGTTTTCTCTTTTCTGTACACTGGAATTGCCATTTAATATGATTTGTGTTGTGCACCAAGCAACAAAGGAAGACTATAAGTGCTCCTGAAAGCTGGAAAACTCGGTAAACATGATTTAAAACAGCTTTAAATCATGAATAATTAGGATAGACGCAGTCTTTCCCTTGAAATAATTACGTTAGTTCAACATTGAAACAGTATTTACTTAGCGCCGCCTATAAAGAAAATTATCTTTGCAACCATAATATGGAAAGAATTAGCATTGGACGTTACGAAAAGAAAATTCTAACCGATGGATTTTCAGAAGAAATTCATCATTGTTCTGTTTCCAGAGTACTACAGTAACCGAATAACCAATCAGTTAACTGTCGATTAGTTTCAGTTATTTATAACGGACGCATGCCTACTTGTATATAACTCGAGAAATTTAATATCTGATATTTTCCCCTTAGTGGATGGAGTATGCTATATGTTTCTTGTTCTGATTATCTGTGTTATGTCCTGGTTCGTTCGTTAAGTCAAGAAGATGTAGACTTGTGAGTGTTTTTTTCTGGTTTAGCAGTATGAGTCTTTTGATTGTCGGTACATCGAAACTGGTGCAGATAAAATTAGATATTTCTTTGACATAGTAAATAGATGTTATGTGCCAACTAATTATATCATTTTAAAACCTTAGAAAAAATGTTTAAAATTTTTTCGATGTTGGTTTCAACCGAACGTCGGTTTTTTTATTTCAAAACGAAAACTGCTGTATACCGGATGATGTCACTAGATAATCGACGAAACCTTTCGATATATAGTATTATTGTCATGCTAAAAAAGGTCATTTTCTTATTAATTTCTTCATTTAAAATTCCTCTCAGAGTTTTTTCCACATATTCTGATCCAAATATGGTTTATAAATAGTCAAGTTGAAAAGAGTCTTTGATACTGATCGTCGCGATATATTCTCTAGAAAAGAAAGAGTTTCGAGCTTTTTTTTTGAATATATTATACATAAGCAAACAGATGATAAAATAATAATTATATAGTCTGGTTGGGTTTGAAGTTCTCTATTAGCCTCTGTTTTCACAGTCTGAATTTGAAATTATATGCTAAGCAATATTTTGAATATTATTAATGTACCTCATCGATCGCATTCTCAGAGAATGATTGCATTTCATGTTCTTTCACTCAAGTTTTGTATGCATTTTTTAGAATTCGGATGAGGTTGCATTATATAACGATGCAAGTCCACACCCAACGGCAGTATGATTAGAATATCATCCATACAAGTTATATGACTCAGACAATGGGTGATGCAAAAGTTTTTTTGAGCAAAATGCCACGCTCTCTAACTTCGCTCAGTAGCGACGGAAATCTGTAACTTGTATTTCATTTAAAGAGCAAGTCAGACCGTACAAGAAGAAATGTAAATGTTTGGAATTGAACGTTTGAAAAAAGCTGGAAATTATTATATAATTACAAGGGGGAAAGCACGGAATCCTAGAATCTTGAATTCTCCTGGATCCCAAGGATTCTTTATGGTTCTATAGGATGTCTTCGGATTCCTTCGGATTCTCTTGGAATCCATAAGATTTCAGGATTTCATGATTCCGTGCTTTCCCCCTTGTATAATTAACCATGTCGAAAATGTCTAATAAAATTATAAATAGATGAAAACAGAAGGAAGATGTGTTGGTTTAACAACTAAAAATACGCAGACATGTTTAATCCCAGGCGCAATATAGATTATAGACTACATCCGATGTATACACAATTTAATTAAATGTGTTGTTCATTATATTAGTCATTGGTAACACAGCTCTTGAAAAGATTGTCTATCGCCGTTCTATTGTAGATGAAATGAAGCGATACCTATCGCCGCCATCTGATCTATTAAGAAGTGAACAATCTCATTAAAATCACAGAAAGAAAAACTATTTTCCGCGTTTGTGGTTAAAAAAGATGAATACTTATACTTGTTAATCCGAGCAATGAAAGTTGATTTGATTTTATCTTCTAACTATTGCGCTTTATTTACCTATAGAAATAGTAATCTAACTGAAAACAAGAAACCAAAACATTTACCTGTTTCTGATTAGTCAGTTATGACTTTCTTAAGGTTCGATGACAATTTATTTAAGCTCATTACGTTAACTTATCATAATCGTTACTATTTGTCTTATTTTCATGAATGTAATTTACATCTGTTTACGCGTTCATTTTATTCAATTTTACGCTTGACAATGGCAAAAATGGCGTCGGAACTTTGAAATTTCTAAAGTTTCTTAATATAAAATGGTAAAATATAACACATGTTGAACCTGTAGAGATGCCGAAACTTGGATTATATAGCTTGTTAGCTGCTAGCATTCTCGAAATATAACAAATGCAAGCTTGTGTGGATGCAATGCAAACGATGTGTGTAAAGCTAACAAACTGCAACACAATGATGGTGTATCCTTCTACTGTCACGAGGTAGAGTGAAAGAAACACTTAAGCATGACAGAATTTACGGTTAATATCATACATAATCATAATGTGTGTGAAGATAAAATACGCATAAAGATATATAGTTCGATCAATAGTTTGGGCTATTAGGTGCACACTTTTAAATTTCACATGCTCATTGGTAGTAGTGTGTTATCAGCAGATCGTAAACGATTCATTATAGCCAAATTATTGATCGAACCATATATCTTTATGTGTGTTTTATCTTCATGAACATTATGATTATGTATGATATTAACGATAAATTCTATCATGCTTGATTGCTTCTTTCACTTTGCCTCGTGACAGCAGAAGGATACACCATCATTATGTTTGCAGGCTGTTAGCTTTAACATACACCGTTTCATTATATCAAGCATAAATAAGTAATTATGTGGGGTGGTGGTAATCCGTATGGTTCGTACATAAAATTAGTTTAGTGTATGTTCTAAACTTTTCTGTTCTATTTCTTAGGATATGGGACTACGCAAGGCTTTTTTGGACAAGATTTCTCCGGTCAAGGTTTTCCTGGAGGTTTCAATCAAGCTGGTGCATATGGAGGTGAGTTGAAAACTCTTTTGACTATTACTTGACGAGTCTTGTATTATCTTACTTATGAACAGGAAACTTTGGTAGTCAATTCGATTTCGGTCAATCAGGCTATGGTGGCTCTGGCGGTTATGGTGGCTATGGCGGTTATGGCGGCTATGGTGGCGGTGTGCCTTTTGGTGGTGGTACGATACCGCCTGCTTACGGATCAAATATGATGCACATTCCTAGTCCTCCAGGTGGTATCAATAGTTTAGGTCCAGAATGGATTCGTTATGGTTTTTAGTATAGAACAATTGGTTTGTTGATAAACATTTAGCCCATTCTTCTTTAATTGCATAATTGGTATTATTTTCTCATAACAATATAACTGAAAAAAGAAATTGTTAGTTTTTTTCCATTAGTTAGCGTTTTAGCGAATTTAAGCATAAAAATAGCATGGTTATTACTTTCAAATTCTTTAGATAGTTCATCGTTTGGACTAATACGCTCATTCTACCAATGCAATAAACATTTAATCTCTAAACATGCCGTATTAAATAAGTGTTCCTAAACCGTGCACAATGATTATTGTGGATAAGACACGTTAATAGACACAACTCTAACAGACTCTCTCAGTGATGGAAAGAAAGCACGGAAAAGAATAAGGGCGGGTTTTTTAGATTTCTGATTCTTACACCAGCTAAATTTTTTTCTGCCAAGAACTTATCAAGATGACGCAGCAACCTCCACAACTTTCAAGAACGTCGAATTATTGATATTTTGACTCCAAAGTACAGTGATCCGCTACTAGTCAATAAATCTTGTAAAAGTTGACCAAGGGCACTATTCGGTTCCCTCATTATTAACTACATCAAAAACGCCCAACAGTCGACTATGTCTGCATTTTTTAACGTTGTTTGTGTTATAACTCCCGGATATAGGTCACAATATCTAACATTGATTTCGAGTATCTGGATAGACGAAGTTGCACCTGCGGTTTTTGACAAAATAAATGGAAATATTGCTCTAAAAATTTGCTCCTATTTTTCGTGAAGTCTGAGTGAGTCGATTGAGCACCTTTGATCGCGGTATAAATTTAATGGTTCTTGAGGAAATGTGAGGTAAGCTATGATGCTGAGTGTATTTTAGTGGCTTACTAAATAAAAAAAGGAGAAGTTAGATCAAGTGATTCGCTGGAGAAAATTCGAATTCTAACAAAACTATATATGATCCATGAAGTTGAAGATACAAATCCCTTTGAAAAATAGTGTGTTTCGGAGGAAAAAAATAAAGTGAGATTAGAAGCACAATGTAAGTTTTCGAATGGTAAAGAAGTATCGGGAAAATATCGACTAATCGATCATTGAATTCAACATATCTTTTCCTAAAGCCATTCGTTAGAATACAAAAACGCTTCCATGACAAACTCCTTACAAGTGCAACCGACTTTTGACACGGTTTCATGGGTGCTGATGCCACTAAGGCACAGTTGGCATCCAGGCGGACATTTAACGAAAAATCGATAGTGTGGTTTTTTAAAATTAAAATAGTGGCAAATATACTTTGATAGATGGGCTATCGAATAGCGTAAAATTTTTTGTTTCCAACGAGGAATTTGCGGGTAAAAAACGTTGAAGAAAAACTACCTCGTATATCCGTGACTTCTATGTAAAATCAATTTTTTATTGAACTGAATTATATTTAAATTTTCCAAATGTGTTATTTGGAATCAGAACGCTTGTACCTATGTATTGGTTTAGGTCTTTTAGCGAAAAAGAGTTTTGTACCAAACGAGGCGATTTTTCCGAGAGGTATGTTCACTGTAATGAGTTTCCGAAATTTTTCGAAGCTCTAAATCGTTGAAAATTCCACGGAATGTGTATCAACATAGCCTAAATCTGTGGTGATAGCAGTTTTATGCAGTTTTTCGGCTAGACCGAGATCTTTGTTTTCTAGAAAACCGTCAGTTTTCCAGGTATTTTATATTTTTCTCAGCCGAGAAACACTTTTAGTGAAAATTAGTATGCTATTTGGAATCAGCATGAAAAACTACATCAAATGATGTTTAATTTGTTAATTTTACAAATAAAAAATTCAGGGAAAGGGAAAGAATTTTTTTATCGAAAAACATTTTTTTCGAATTCGAGTTTTTTTACTTTTATTAATATCTGACGCATAATAATAAGATCATATTATGAGAAAAGAATCATTTTTTAACTCAAAAAAACAGATTTGCACCTGTTCTATGGAAAAGTGTCCACTGTGTAAGGATATTCCTTCCAAAACAAATGACAAATTGTTTTCACTAGACAGGTGGATATTTTTTATTACAATTCTCTTCTTTTTTCGCTAAATCTAGTGTGAATACGCACAAGCAATAATTTTTGTTGTGAATTTTCTAGACCTTGAGACAAAATGAATTTACACTGAGATAGGTTTCGGAAGATAAATCAACCGTATGCGTTAATGTGAATTAGCATGATAGAAAATTTTTTAAAAAAACGTAAATATAACCTCAAAATTCAAAAAAGATATATTTCTAACCACATATATTGATCGAATATCAAAAACCAGGGTGTATTAGCTTCTAGCCACATGTGTCAGCTTCAGTTTTAGACCTTCCCGAGCTCTCTGTGATGTTTCGTTACCGAGAAATCTTGCAGCTACGAAATCATGTGAAGCCCCCCTGGGTCAGAAATGCCGATTTTCGGCAATAATATTGATTTTGAGAAAAGCACATGGTTGGATAGCCCAAAGTGTCTACTTTCGATGGCATAATTTTTCTGTCGATAGGTTAGGTTTTTCATAGGTTTTGAGCTAGTTATCCAGAAGCTCCATAGCTAAAAACTTTGCTCAGCCTGCTTTCCTTCAGTAACAAATTTGCAGGTTGTACAGCAACTGTCTACACTTTGTGATCATTGTGTGGTACAATTTTCAATCGGAGACTTTGACACTACTTCTTTCAAATATCAAAGCAAAATTTAGAAGTATAAAAATACCGACTGGAATAGTTTTAGGCAAGAACTTTCTTCTTATGGCTGGGCGTACTTATTAAACCAACAGCCGGATGTTTCGACAAAGATTTCAGCGTGGACAAAAAATTTTTTAAAAATAGCAGATAAAATTATACCAAACAAACTTGTGACGGTTTCATCAAAAGATGCACCCTGGTTCAACAGTGAACTACGAGCAATGTTAAAACAACGTGACATACTCTATAAAAAATATTCACAACCACTACATCCATTGTCTCATACTTATCAAGCCTACTTAAATTCAGCTAAACAGTTTGAGGTAGCATGTAATACAACAAAGAAAAAGTATTTTGATAAATAATCTACCGAGCTTAATCATTCTTCTAAAAAGTGGTGGAGTTTTCTTAAACACACGGTAGGCAAACACAGTCAACCTTCTATTCCTCCACTGTGAGACAATATTTCTAATAATACAGTTACAAAACCGATTGATAAGGCAAATGTATTGAACAAATATTTTTCTAGCGTTTGTACATCAATAAAGCAAAATCATGCCTTTCCTGTTTTGACAATACCGCGTATAAAAATGTCAGTTTTTCATATTTATGAAATAGAAGTAAATGAACTCTTATCTAAAATAGACACTTCAAAAGCGAGTTCACCCGGTATAACTAACCCAATGATTAGAGAAGCAGCTATCTCTATTGCACCAATATTAACATATCTAGTAATGAAGCATTAGACATTGGACAATGTTCTAGCTCTTGGAAGCTGGGATATATTTGTCCTCTATATAAATCCGGGGATTCCCAGCTAACCTAATTACCATCCAATAACTCTCTTAAATTCTGTATCTAAAATATTCGAGCGTATCATCTTTAAACATCTTTACGGCTTCTTGAGTAAATATAGTTTCTTCCATAAAAATAAAGCGGTTTTTTGAGAGGTTCTTCAACAGTTAGTCAGCTCATTAAAATTATTCATCATATTGTTACATCTTTTAGTTCCGGATTTCCAGTTCTAGCAGTATTTCTAGGCTTTTAAAAAGCGTTTGATAAAGTTAATCATACTGATTTATTAATGAAACTTCGAAGTGCAGGTCTAAACGACTCTTTACTTAAATGGTTTGAAGTTACTTAGAAGACCGCAGAATTGTGACAGTAGTGGATGGTAGTACGTCATCAGAATTGGATATTTCATGTTCTGTGCCTCAAAACAGCGTGCTCGACCCTCTGCTATTTTTAATATACATAAATGACCTTCCAGATTCACTATCTAATTTATGCTTCCTGTTTGCTGACGATGTTTCCATCTATGTAGATGCTAAGGATGTGGTCACAGTAGTGGCAGAAATGAATAAAGATCTAGCTTTAGTACATAAGTGGTCAACTGATTGGATTCTACCGTTAAACATCAACAAATGTCTTATACCACTTTCAAATGTAAACTGAAACAACCCTACTTCACTAAATTAAAATTGCCTCCTGTTATTGATAGAATGACAGAAATCGATTTTTTGCGGTGTAGAGTAGGTTTTAGTCAATTGAATCAGGACTTGTTGGAGCGGAATTTAGTAACAGATGCGAGTTGTGCATGTGGATCTAATAGTGAAACAGTAGAACACTTTTTCGCAATATGGTCTCTATATAATACACAATGTGCGCTATTGACAAATGTTTTTCAAGAAGTTTTTGATACCAAAAGTATAAATTTCAATCACTTTTTACTGCGTGATAAATCTGTGTTGAAATTAGATAGAAAATAGACAATAGGACAAAACAGAAATAATTTTTAACTCGGTTCTATATTAGATTCAAACTACAAATCGTTTTTGCCCGTCATGTGTTGTAACTTCTACACCACCAAAATGAATACGAGACCCCTTCCGACTTTAGACATAACCCCTTTTGCACTAGAACTTAGTCGTTCTCAGTGTATCAAACTGTGTACACACCTTCATATTTTCAAATTGTATCCATCTCATATTTGTATTATCCTATGTAACATGAAATTTATTTTCCTTTTATTGTTCTATTCTATTCTACACACTCTCTCTATTTCACTGCCTCTATTTTTATTTTTATTTATTTTTTTTTTCTTCTCTATTTCTCCCTATCTACGATTCTCTGTGAGTGTATGTTTTTAGTATGTATATGTGATAATCAACTTTTCTTTTCGGCTGTTCTCAACATGTAATGGGCCCGCCCGCTAAGTTGAATCAAATAAACTATGTTTGGATCAAAAACTTTGGCTTTTTTGCACTATTATTGCAGAAGCGCACGCATGTGGCGCACATGGCGCCACACATGTTCATTAAATCCGCCATGACCGATAACCTCTAGCAGAATATCGACAAAAAATTTAACGCTCAAACAGTTTTAAGTAAAATGCATTTAACAGAATCGAAACTTATTTTGCGTTTTTCTTAAGACTGTTTTATAGTTTCAAGGCTTTCGCCACACACAGGAATTCTCGGTAACGATACATCGGAGGAAGTTTTCCTTTTTTTTGATTTGTAGATAACACCTATAGGTAGGAGTTGATAGAGTCCAATTTTCAAATTATGCTTGTATTTTTTATAGAAACGCGGATTTCTAAGAAACTTTGTAAGGATTTTCCGGACTTTGAAGTTCTGTTAAGCACCAGAAATCAGCAAATGACAAATTCAATAATCGGGCTCTGTGAACTCCTAGACATATGTGTTTACTGCAAAACAAAATCAGCCCGAGCCCTCTATCATTTACCTGGAGTGAGAATTCTTGTAAATGGCAAACGCCTATTTTTGGCCCTTGTTGTGGCGCCCTTTCACGAACAGTTGCTAGTGACGTCAAAAAAAAATTTCATTACTACACTTTGACAGGGCCGACATTTCCTGAAACTTTGGTTCAAATCAGACCTACCTGGGCTGACATAGGTTTCTAACCCAGGGGGCCCTTAAGGTCAAAGTCGTTCTCGAGATCTGACGGCGTCAGTATCTGATGCATGCTTTAGGGCTTGGTTTAAGTTTTAATCTTGAACCGGAACGAAATCGAGAATATAAATTCCCATTATATCATTCTGAAACTTAAACTATCGAAACACAAAATCAATCCTTGTACGAAGCTAGAATCGAACACACATGCTTGATCTTTGCAGACAAACTGAAAAAGTCAGCTTCGAGAGGCTTCAAGTATCCTAATTTGATCAGAAATGTTTGCTCTATTTCGTGGTGTCATCGAAAGGATTTTTGGGTTCTGAATCTTCTTGAACTTAAATGGTCAAGAAAAACATCTCATTTTCTTCTTTATTACAATTATCAATGAACAGTAGCTTATGATATCGTTGATATCTTTGTGGTTCCTCATCTGTGCATGAGGAATATGCCGTTCTAATTGCTGCAGGTAACACTTTTTCATTGCATTCTACAACACTGACTTTATATTGGAGAAACTGGGAACAGTCTTCTGTGCACTGACACAGGGACATTTTAATGTCATAATTCTACACTTCCAGTAACGAAATTATTCCTTATAATTGTGCTTTACGGAAAAAAACTACTATACAACAAAGACAATGAATTGCGACATACAACTTCATATCATAACATTGACAAACTGATTAATAAATATTACAGAAATGTCTATCACATAATCAATAATTCCACCCTGACTACAATTCTATTGAATTAATTCAACATTACTAAAATATTCTAAGTCAAAACATTTATTCATACAAACTAAAGCACACCTTACTTTTGATAAAGTACCGCTGCATCCGTAAATGTATATGTCAACAATACTAAGCCGCTTCACATTCATATCATCAAAGCCAAATTAAAATCTTTCGAGCTACGGACGTTTTTCTTGAAGCCTTAGGATTCTTCTGCCGCTAGATTTGGAACTCTCAGAAATGAATGAAAACATAGGTTACCGACTATGATAAATCTCGTGGCAACATTTGGTTTTTAAAACAGTTTCGAAAACCTATTGAAAATGTACATCAGGTGAAATATACCATTTTTGCCTATTTTTGAGTAAAATTCACAAATTCATAACTCACGAGGGAACGTTTCAAAGTGCCCCTCGCTTTTTTCAATGAAACCTAGTGGGTTATAGGTTATCGATGATGCTGATTCCGAATATGAATATGAGAGCTTTGAAGACCCGTTTTTCTGACAATTAGTCAGAAATTCTGAAAAACAACCAAAGCTTTTCTTAATGAGCCATGCTTGTAGCCCGCACATTTCTGATTGAAATGAGACCTTTCCCAACTGTACATGCCTTTCTTTGCAAAGTTATAGAATTTACACGGAAAGCCCTAAATATTCATTGTCAACTCAAAGCTGCAGAAATAAGCAGAAAGTAATTTAGGACTTTTCTTGTAAATTCTATAAGTTTGCAAAGAAAGGCATGTGGAGTTGGGAGAGATCTCATTTTTATCAGAAATGTGGCTACAAGCAGGACTCATCAAGAAAAGCTTTGGTTGCGTTTCAGAGTTTCTGACTTTCAGAAAACCGGGCGTTCGAAGCCCTAAGGGCAGCTCTCATATTCATATTCGAAATCAGCAACGACGTTCCCTCGTCAGTTAAGATCAATCCAAGTTACGTCAGAATATCAAGATGTACTCTATTTTATCTGCTCAATACTATGCAGTTCAACAGACGCATTAAAAATCGACAGAAAATACTCTGATTTTTCAAAGGTTTTCCAAAGTACAAGAATGTTTTTACTATTCTCACGTAAAACATCATTTGCTGTAGGTAAAGTAGAGTACATCTTAATATTCGGACATAACGTGAATTGATCTTGACTGAGTTATGAATTTGTGAATTTTGCTCAAAAATAGGCAAAATGGAATATTTCACCTAATATGCGTTTTCAATAGGTTTTGGAAACTATGTTGAAAACCAAATGTTACCACGAGATTCAGCCGAGTCGGTAACCTATGTTTTCATTCATTTCTGAGTCGCAAATCTAGAACGGCATAGAGTCCTAAGGCTTCAAGAAATACGCCCGTAGCTCCCAAACCATGAATTTTCGAGATGTCTCTTGGATCTGGTTTTGTAGAGGACACCTTGGACTATCCATATATGCAAAAAATTGATAGATTGCTATGTAAAAGTTTGGAACTATAAGCTGTTTTTCCGAAGGTCCACGCAAAGATTTTGATTTTTACATATGACTACGTGCTCCAGTCTTGACTATTTCGCACGATCTTCCTTTGCAAATTTATAAAATTTACAAGAAAAGCCGTAAATGTTCATTGACAGCTCAAAGCTACAGAAATAAGAACATGTAGAATAAAAACCGGAAAAACTGGCATTATTGGAATAAACGGTAATATTTTAACTTTTATTTCCTGAGGAGACCCACAATCGCACCC